AATAAGGTGAATCTCAATGAAAACTAAAACTTAGTTAAGAATTAAGGACATTGTATTTAATAGAAGCAGTGACGTCAGTCTAGTTATATGATAAACTTTGCTTCCGGTGGATAAGGAACAAAGGCTTAATGTGCCACCACAGTTCACATAGACAAGATTATTGACGTTAACAAGAGATTGTTTTCCACACGCTGTTTGTTTACGAATGCATGAAACAGGGAGGCTTGTTTGGGCGGTGTTTGCAATGACAGCTGAATAGAATTATCGGCTGGTTCTACACTGTACGTGGCTATAATAAATATGGAGAGAAGCATCCTAATAATTACAATTATTATGACGATAATCTCTAGGAGTACTTAATATATTAATTTTCCCATATTAGTTAAGCGCTGGTTCAGAGTGCATTAGCAGAGCGCTGGTTCAGAGTGCAGAGTCAGAGTGGGGAGTCAGAGCGCAGAGTCGGAGCACGGAGTCAGAGCACGGAGTCAGAGCTCAGAGCCAAAGCGCAGAGTCAGATTTGGGAGTCAGAGCGCTGGCTCAGAGCGCAGAGTCAGAGCGCAGAGTCAGAGCGCAGAGTCAGAGCGCAGAGTCAGAGTGCAGAGTCAGAGCGTGGAGTCAGAGCGCTGAGTCAGAGGGCTGAGTCAGAGCGCAGATTCAGAGAGCATAGTCAGAGCGCAGAGTCAGAGCACGGAGCCAGAGCTCAGAGTCAGAGCGCAGAGTCAGAGCGCAGAGTCAGAGAGCAGAGTCAGAGCGCAGAGTCAGAGCGCAGAGTCAGAGAGCAGAGTCAGAGTGCAGAGTCAGAGCTTGGAGCCAGAGCGCAGAGTCAGAGCGCAGAGTCAGAGCGCAGAGTCAGAGTGAAGAGTCAGAGCGTGGAGTCAGAGCGCAGAGTCAGAGCGCAGAGTCAGAGCGCAGAGTCAGAGATATTCTTCTTTACGATTAATTTAAAATAACGTATTTGAAACAGTTGTGTATATAGTTTTAAGTGATCACATTCATTCCAACACATCACGTATGAATTCATTATCCACCCTATATAAGCTCAGAAAATTGAATGGGTTTTATTGTCCAAACTGTACACACTTTCTTACCCATTGAACGAGTAAGGGTGTACGTTGCTCTCATGGACGTTGCTAAACTGGATCAAATTGACCCACATGGAGTAGAATGTGCGTTGTTATCTGGACAAAGTCTCACTCATTCCTCTGAGTGTACGGGTCAAATGGTAGATGAATCTTGATCATCATTAAATAAATAAGAGTTTATGCTGAGTCACGGCGCTGAACACAGCCTGAATGGCCCATTGTGTGGCAACGCCAAAATTGCGGGTAGATTCTGCTGCTGATACTTTGCTAAGAGTGAAAGTTTTGCCCTTGACTTCTTACAACACAGTGAAGAGACGAATTATTTATGATAAATTACTCGTACTGAAGTATAGGAGTGAAGGGATTTCATATCTGATTAGATAGACACCTTGTCAGTTGGTCAATGGTAGTTTTTCGGTGGTCGGGTGGTCAGGTAGCCACTGGTCAAGTGGTCAGAGAGTCATTTGGTCTGGTAATCAGTCTGACGGTAACTTCAACAACTAATTATATGTTGATTACAACCAGCATGTATTCAATATTGTTGCTGACGTGTGCTCGGTCATCTTCAACTCGAGCTTCTGTCACGCCACGTTGATGAATAATTCAGCGTCCAGGGCTTCGTTGCGACTAGTATTTTTTTTAGAGTTCCGGGTGGGCATGATTGTGCGGATCCACTCTGGGACTTGTGCGGAGGCTTGATATTTCCTGAGTACGATATATTTAGGATCCTCATGAAACATGTCTGCTAACATAGTGGTAATTATACTCTGATGAAATATTTTACTATACTTTTCGGCTTCAGCCGCTATTTATAGCATTGCTAGCTTCTGACGCTCTATAGCAGAAGTTCAATCATACTCGGAATAAAAACAACAAAAATCATGTAAAAAATAATCAAACAACAAATATTTTCTATCGAAATGTAGTATTTTGATAGAATTTATATTATGGAGCTAATACTGATATCAATTTCGAGCTAATAATAAATAAATAATTTTCTTACATATATGCACTAGTTAAGAATCTTAGTTATTGTTCAACTATATTTCCATCACGGCTGCTCGATCAATGAGATAAAGAAACTAGCCCATCAAAAACTCTCCAAAGAAAACCATGATGGCATTTTGGCGTCCAGCGATCTAACACACGTTTTCCGACGATAAACCGGCCAATCTTTCCGATTAGTAATGGAACGTCGTCCAGTCCACTGAGCAGGTTAATCAAACCCAATTAAGATAATAAAATCTGATTCAGGTGTGACGCTCACAATCATTTATGGCCTAAGTTTAGCTGCCGATTCTCATTGAAGATTAAAGCCACGCCAGATATTATTTGCAGGCTTGGGACCTAAGTTCAATGCCCTTTCATAATTAAAATCACCGATAGGAATACGAGAAGAGATTATATTATTGTGGAAACAAATAAAAATATTTTTCGAAAGACGTTGACTAAATAGATACATTGGCAAAATTATCTTAATCTCAAAAGTCAACATAGCGGTGGGGATATTCAAAGAGAGGTAATTGATTAATTCCAATTGATTAATTTCCAGATAATATTTATGTACTTAAGCCTCTCAGGACAGTACAAAGGATTATTAATAGATATTACCCGTTTGATTTTGAACGCATAGCCATTCGATAAGTTGATAATAATTGTTCTTAAAGGTACGGGATCATTCATGAGAACCATTCATTCATATAAGATCATTCATACAGGATCATACAGGATCATTCATAAAAATAGTTTATTGACTGAATTAATTTTTGTGATGTCGGAATAAGAATTACAAGCGGCCTCGTTGCACATCATTACGTTGATTCTTCTTGTAATTTACCACCTAAAGGCGTCATAAAATTCGTAACAGGCCTCAACAACAAGGTCACCAGTCTGAAAAGGCTCACTTGACGCTCGTTTATCTCACGGCTTTTATTGAGATATTAAAAAATATGAACCGAAATTGCATGATTTCTGTAAACAAACTCTAGAGATTTCAGGCCTAAACCTACCATCAATACATAGAATATCCTTGACAAGCAGGTTTACAAAAGTTTAGCCTCAGCCTCAAATTATCCCGGTGTTATTCTTCTAAATGAAACCGCGTGTCGTCAAAGAGCTCATTAGGCGGTGTGTTTCATGTTTCCGTGCCATGGTATCGTCAAAGAAACTGTGCACGCGTAACCAAAACGTCGTTTTGGTTCATTTGTAGCTCAGGGTTTGGGTTTTTTGTGGGTGTGGATGAGAACATCGTGAGAGGTTAGGGAATAGTTGACACTTTGCACGCAGAGAAGAATATATGCAGAATATAATATATTTGGTACTAAAGCAGCTGCCAAAATTCTCTGTTGAAATAGGATCTTAATCGAGCTTAAAAATGCAGATACGAATATTCGCAGAGACAAATACATATACTTGGCACTAGAGCAGCTTCCAAAATTCTTTGTCTGAAATCGGATTTTAACTTCTCTTGAAATCAAATAAAAATAAATTAAATGTCACCATTCTGAGGTTCACAAAACAGTAAAATAATATGACAAGTAATACTACTAAAATATGGGATTATTAAATCTAGACTTCAATTAGAACCATTTTTAAAGTGTTCGAAAGAATCTTATAAAGATGATTGTCTTATAAAGAATAAATGTATAGCCGCCCCAGCTTCTGATTCACATTTAAGAAAGATATTAAGAAAATTCCTAGTGCACAGAAAAAAAGTTTCTAATAAAACGATATATAAACTCAAACAAATTTCACAATTGAAATGAGAGAGAAGTCTGCTGTCTGACCTCTCTTCTGGACTCGGTTCAACGTCAAAGAAATTGAAATTGAATTAAATTAAGGGATTTGATGGAATTTCCAGTGCCTCCGTTTGGCGTTGAAATGCCCTGGCTTCGTTGCAATGGAGCCTTGAAAAGATGGCCTGAACGTAGGGTAGCTTTGAAATCGTCTTAGGAAATTAGAAACAGAATACTCGTTGTCTTTCAACTAATCAATAAACATTATAAAATCTTGATGTTCGCTCGAACTAACCTTTGAAGAATGTATGTATATTTTCAACTTTATTTAACTCCTATGGGGTATTTAATCATTATGAACATGTTATTATAAGAGCCCTGTTTTGTAGATAGAGGCATAGCGTTTAAAGATCAGACACCCGGATAGCAAAACTTTTCTTTAAATAGATGCCACCCGCACGTACGTGAAAATTACTGAAGAACTAAAGTTGGAAATATCACCATTCTGAGGTTCACAAAACAGTAAAATAATAATACAAATAATACTACTATAATATGGGATTATTAAATCTAGACGTAATTATATAGAACCATTTTTAAAGTGTTCGAAAGAGTGATGCGAAATATTGTCTTATAAAGAATTAATTAATATAGCCGCCCCAGCTTCTGATTCACATTTTCAGAAGCTGCAACGGCCATAAACATTCCTGGGTTCGAACAAGATATAACTCGCAGTGTGTGTACATAGTCACCCCGGCTTCTGACTCGCGCTATAAGAAGCTGGGGCGTCCGCAAATATTATCTGGGTTGGAATGAAAAATTATTCGCAGTGTCTGTTAACAGCCTCCCCAGCTTCTGATTCTTGTTTTCAGAAGCTCGGGCGGCTGTAAATATTCTCTGAGCTCGAACAGAAAATAACTCGCCATGTGTATTCTGTAACTCGTCTGTAAATACTTTCTGGGTTCGAACCACATAACATAACTCGTATTTTGTGTTTTTCCACGGGCAGCGTACGCGACGGCGTCGTTCTTTGCGCTGCTCTGCGCCATTCCGTTCACCCACAGAACATACTATCTGGGTTCGAACATAGAACACACTATCTGGGTTCGAACATAGAACACACTATCTGGGTTCGAACCACATAACATAATTCGCTTTTTGTGTTTTTCCACGTGCAGCGTACGCGACGGCATCTTTCTTTGCGCTGCTGTGCGCCATTCCGTTCACCCACCGCGTCCTCACCCACGAGCTGGGACGCTGGCAGAGCTTCGCCGTGGCTTTCTTCCACGCCAGGATTGTGCTCTACTTCGGCAACTCCTGTATAGGTCAGAGAGGCTGAGATCTTGCCACAAAGTTCGACCGTGTTACCATTGATGTTATTCAATACTATTTCAGTGGTACTGTGTTAATATTGTTTAAATGTGACAGTGTCAATATCATTTTATACAAATTGAGTAATTTTTTGCAATATAATAGTAAACTATGACGCATTAGGGTTAGTCACTCGTGAATATTTCATAAAGCATTTCCAAAATACCCTCAACGCTCGTTCTAGAAAACAATGTGTACATCACCGTTAACCTCATCTCTAGAAGACAACAAAATACCTGAAATTGAGCGCAAATTACATACAAAATTTATGAGCAAAAATATTTATGGCATAAAGTGACACTACATGATATTCTTACATGTGTGGCAGGCGTGAGCGTGTTAATGCTGCTGGCGCTCACGGTTGAGCGCTACATCTCCGTCTGCTTCCCAGCGAAGGCCCGCAACCTGTGCGGCGCGACCAGACGAGCGCACACCACCGTAGCACTGCTACCACTCGTTACCTTCACCCTCTACAGCCCCTACCTTTTCCTGGCTGATGTCATCCAGTGCAGAGACGATAGAGGTGAGTACCACTGAGTAAGATTTGAAGTATGACTGGCTACTGTAATACATAGCCCTTACCTCTTCCCGGCTACGTCATCCAGTGCAGAGACGGCAGAGGCGAGTACCATTCAGTAAGATTCGAATAATGACTTGATACTGTAATATATAGCGCTACCTCTTCCTGACCGACGTCATACAGAGCAGAGACGATGGCCCGTATGCTAAATGGGGCACTAGCACTACGAAGTAGCACTACGCACTACAAGCCGTAGTGCGGAAGCGACACTAAACATTGTAGAGCTACTTCGAAGTGCTTAGTGTCTGTGACGTATTTAGCATACCAACAGGACACTTCGTAGTGCATAGTGCTACTCCGTAGTGCTAGTGCCCTATTTAGCATACGGGCCAATAGAAGTGAGCAAAATTTGTATTATGGCTCGCACTGCAACCAATAGGCAGTACCAATAGTCCTGGCTTTTTCCCTTATATCTATTTTATTTTTATTATGATGATTCAGAAGTAATTCGATTAATTCAAAAACGGCTGATCCTACGATTCATATTTCGATTAAATGTGGTCAGAATCATTGATAAAATGTTCATGTTTGATCATAATTAAAATTGATAAATAATAACTTTAAAAATTGTTTTCAAAGGACAAGTTGTGTACATGAAACAAATCAACGAATCATTGACGTTGTCCGGGTGGTTCAACGCTTACAAGTGGCTCATGGAAATATCCTACAAGCTTCTACCCGCGGCGGTGCTTTTCTACCTGAACATCCACATCATCTACGCGTACCGCGCCGTGTGTGAGCGACGGCGTAGGATGACACAAACTAAGGTATGTAACCGTATGTTGTGACTGTTTAATTATTAACTGTTTTCATTACACTGTTCAATTAACAGTATTTATTACACTGTCTAATTAAATGTAACTGTTGTAACTTGTGTTTAACTGTAACAGTTCAATTAACTGTACTATTTATTTAGCAGAAAACATTGAATATGAAGGATTAATTAATTAATGTTCAATATAATGTTCACATATGTTAATGTTTGAGAGGCGATGACGTCGTTTAACGTAAATGCTAAACGCGTTTGCGCTTCTTCCTGCATTTTTCTCACTTAATTCACAACGTATTCATATTCAATTCACTTTGACTTCACGCTCATGTGTCGAGTTATATAATTGATACAATAATAATCATAACATGCATTGTCATTAATAATACAAGCCATCAATTTTGATTACCTCGTATTACTTCGACTAGACAGTGTAATTACAGAGAGGCGGTGCAATAATTGATATTCATGACCAAGCATTCCCAAGAGTAATCTCTATGAGGTACAAATATACCATTCGGTTCGGTATACATTTCCATCCTTAAATAGCTTCATTTCAATGACTTTTCATGTTCTTTGCATACACTATAAAAATTTTCACTTTGGATTTAAATATTCCTGATTTTTTACTGTCATTTTACTAGTCATTATAATAAAAATTGGGTATACTAGGTATGCTAGCTTTTTTCACAGTAACTTAATTTTTTCTGTATTTCCTTCTGCAAAATTTTTTTCACCGGGCCAAGGTTCTAAACTTTAACGCATCAAGGAATTTCCGCCTACATGTAAATCCTTAAAACTAAAGTTTCACACAATTTAACTTCCTTCATATTTTTAATGGCCAAAAAATCTCCAAGTTCCTTACAGATACATTGCTCCACTTATAAATCCATCCTTATTTTCCACACTCAAATTCCTAAATATTAATCCACAACTAAGCATAGCATATTTAACAGCCAACAAGTTCCTCCATTAATCCACATCTTAGCCCATCGTATTTTTGAAAACCAGAAACTTATTTTTTTAATCCACATTTTAGCCCATCGTATTTTTAAAGGCCATAAAGTTCCATTATTAATTCATATCTTAGCCCATTGTATTTGTAAAGGCCATAAAGTTAATTTATTAATCCACATCTTAGCCCATCGTATTTTTGAAGGCCATATAGTTCCTTTATCAACCCACTTCTTAGCCCACCGTATTTTTAAAGGCCATAAAGTACTTTTATTAATCCATATCTTAGCCCGTCGCACTTTTGACGGACCCTGACTTCATCGATATTAGTCCACATCTAAATCCACCTTAAATTTCAACTGCCATCAAGTCCACTAAAGTCAAGTGAAACAATAACTGGCACTCAACTCATCAATATCAAGTGAAAACATTAAGCTCATCAATAGCAATCACACAAAAAAATGTATGGCTCACTAGGTGCTAATGGTTAACATCACAACGCTGCAGGTAAGCGGCGAACAGAGGCGTCAGTACGCAGAAGAGTCGCGCCTGATGTTCCTGCTGGGTGGCACCTCTGCAATATTCTTCATCTGCATGACACCCATGATCGCCCTCTCCGTCACGGTCCACTTCACCCACTACACCACCAGCTACGTTTATCAAGTCAGTGATAAACTAGAGAGCGAATGGTAGATTCACAGGGTGGATGATAAATGTATGGGAAGAGTGTAGAAACAAGCAGATTTAATGACAATTTAGAATGTGTCTGTTTTTCGAGCGAAAAGTTAATATATTATTTGAATCAGCAGTTTATAAAATGATGTTGATAAGTGCCATGTTAAATTTAAAAGGTTTGTTATCAAGTTAAATGGTGTATTATATTATAACAGATTCAGATTCATTTGAAAAAAATTCAGTCACAAATTCATTCGATCACTAAAATCCGCTCCATCATATCGAACCTTAATCAATTCTTCACAATCTCTTTTTAACAGATTTTCCGAGCGCTGGCGAACGTGTTGGAAGTAACGAACTTCTCTGTCACGTTCTACATCTACTGCCTCTTTTCCAAAGACTTCCGCGAGACGTTCTTCGCGTTCGTGCGAACCGCAACCCGGACAGCAGTCCCTAAAACATATTTCGCGTCTATGTCAGGTTTTCGAGAGACCTTGAGACCCCCATAGGGATACGCCCCCACCCGCACCCCTCCTATCACAACCCCCACACACGTATGATATCCAATAGATGGCAGGGTGTGGTCACCCGCCAGTGATGCGATCACCCAGTCCTTTGCTCCCCCAGGCACCGAAGATAGCGGATTCCGCTCAGAGTTTCCTACCGACGGGAGCTCATGTCAGTGCGGATGTCAAACGGAGACCTCAGACAGAAGTGATTTTGGAGGTCATGTTGATGTGGATTTAAGTAGGGACAATGAATCATGTTCAATGGAAATGTATCCTATTTTTTCCAAAGAATGTTTCTGTTAAAACAAATTTTAGGTGTTCCACCTGATGTGTAAATTTTAGCAAAAAAACAGAATACTATACAAGGAGAATGAGATAAGATTTTGATGAAACATGCAATGATTCTATTGAATATAGGTCTCTGCGGATGACATGTCGTAGAGAAGCAGAAAAAAAACATTCCTCACTGATTACAATAATGACACACTTGTACTTAAAATATATATATGCGGAGTGTCGCATTCTGGGGTTGTTAGATACTCTTTCATCTCAATTTAAGTTAACGACTTAGATAGCGAAACGTCATTTAACGCACAATCTTGTACGACCATCATCTGGTTCTTGAGTTGATGAGTGCCAATTTAAGGCTGATTAATTGAAGGTTTAATTTAGGTAATTTAAAAACAATAAATGGCGTTATAAAAGACAAGAAAGAGCGCTATAGAAGCAAGAACGCAACGAATTTCACAGAAAACATTGATGTAGTCTCTAAGTAGACAGAGGTTTAAAATATTTCATAGTAAATCACTGAAATTCAATCTTACTCCTAGGATGAAAATAGTAATAGAATTTTGTAAGCCTTGAAGTGAATTTCTTAGTTACTTCTATAAAAACACGTTTTGTAAGTCCCAACTTGCGATCATAATTCAAGTACACGATAGTCAATCATAATCATGCACGTAGCATGACGTAGCATTAATTAACAAGTTAAAAAAAAATTCATTGCACTTTCTTACATATTAAGGATCTTGACATGAGTAAACTTCATCACATTATGGTCAGAAAACCATTACTTATATATATTAAAAATTATTGAATTCTTGGTAAATTATTATTTGGTTTCCCTAAATCTGAATGGCCTTTACTTTCAAGAAGCTCATTCCGCTGAATGGCACATGACTTTCTATGAAAAAAAACATTGCAAATGAATGCTTTTGCAATTTATTAGTTATTGAACTTATTCTAGATAATTATTATTATCTGGAATTTTTTTTAATTGAAGATAATTGAAGCAAACTAGCTCGCTTCAAGCTGAGATGCTGGACAGTGTGGAGAGTTTTAACGTTCCTTGAATGCTTCCGTACAGTTAATTCTGTACTCGCCGTTAACTGGATACTAGTTTGTTAGAATAGAATAAGAATTAGAAGCTTTTCAATTTACCATGTTTAAAAATGATTGATTGTATTAATGTTATAACAAATTAGATATAAATACATATGTGTTTCATCATTTTATTTATAAAGACGTTTAAATTTCGTCCACGGATGCCTTCGCTTGTCTCATCGATATACTTCTTTCACCTTTACGAATTCCCTCAAGTTATCACATTCTATTTTACTAAATTTAAGCGATACGGAACACTTAAAGGAGTTAAACTGCAGCAAATTAACTTCATTGAGAAATTAAAAAAATTTTTATGGCTTGGACCAGTAAAATATATTTCTGACCTCCATCTCTTCATCTCTTACAATTTATCCAATTTTATAACTGCTGTACGAATGTGATAGCAGCTTAATGTTATAGTCATTAATGAAAGTTGTTTGAACCTCACTTTTAAAGTTAATTTAAGATTTAAAACGCAATTATCCAGCAACTACAGCATATTTTTATTTTTATTTCATACGTCTTCATCTCTGCAAAATATTTTTCCTTTAAATTATTCGTTTTTCAATTTCAATTATTTAAACTTCAAAAACTTTGAAAACTCACAACCATGTTATAAATTTTGCATTTCTATACTTTCATTCGAAATTAGTTGACTTGAAAATTAACTAATTATTTGACTGTATTTCCTTAAAAGATTGCTTAGTATTGTCTTACATTTTTTATCAAATCATATATTTCTGTTCACAAATGAATTCAGGCATGATAATTTTTTTGCGGATTTGGGCACAATATTCGGATTAGCTGAATTGCACAATATTATCTTGTTTCACACAATGATCTCATTCTAACAGAAAGTGGTTTACTTCGCTAGCACGTAATCTTGGGTTAATCGTTATTTCCACTGGCAAGTTTTATCATACGTTACTACTTTATTTTTCAAGAATTACTTCCTATACTAGAAAGTTACACCATACGTTACTACTTTATTTATTGAGAAATCTTTTCTTTTTTAGAAAGTTTTACCATACCTTACTACTTTATTTTTTGAGAATTGCTTCCTATACTAGAAAGTTATACCATACATTACTACTTTATTTTGTTTTCTTCTCTAGAAAGTTATACCATATGTTACTACTTTATTTATTGAGAATTACTTTCTTTACTAGAAAGTTATGCCATACGTTACTACTTTATTTTCTGAGAATTGTTTTCTTCACAAAAAAGTTATTCCAGCCTTTACTACTTCCTCATTTTTTGCAAATCGTTTTTTCCAGTATCAAGTTTTACTTGGCTTTATTACTTTGTTCGTGTAAACCATACTAAATTTCGGCAGGAAATTTAGTTTATTTTTCTGAACTGAATTTAGTTCAGTTTTCTCTGGTGTGCCTAGAAGAGTTAACATTGAAATTATAATCAGAGGAAGAAACATTTGCCGGTAACATAATTGAGTGATGTTGGTACTTGATCTTCATTTAGCATGGAATTTCCAATTATTGATTAGTCAGCATTAGATATGTCCGATGATTGTTAATTATTCATAAATGCGAACTTCTATGAGCTGTATGTACTTTTAAACCGATTTTGATAATTAAATGGTGAAATACTTAAAAACTATCATTTAGAATCAGAGTTTAATGAAAAAATTATATTGAAGGGTAACTTGTCTTTCTGAAGTCGATTTAAAAACAAATTCAATAATACAGTTCTAAGGAATTTTATAGTTATTATAACTGAAGAAGAGACTACAATTAGATACTGCATGTCTACTGGAGTAACGCTTAGTAATGCTTCTAGAGAATAATTTTGCTGTGATGGAGACTTAGTAGTTGCTTGTTTCAAAGTTTATGATGAAAATATGAAAAGTATTTCATAAGTTTCTATTAACCCAAATCGATGAAAAAAAATTTATATATTGGCCTGTTATACATAGTTTAATAACTAAGTTTGATGAGAGATTTATGATTATATTGTGCACTAGAAATAAAAATTTATAAATCCGGTGAAAAATTAATCTAAGATCCTGCCTCTGTTTTAAGTAAAGAGATATTTGAGAAGCCATTACCTTTCATGTGTATAATATTTCTATAGGAATAAGTCCTAGAAATTTCTATTGAATTGCTCAAAATTTCCGCTGTGTAATGATATTGTTTTAACTCAATAAAACATTTTCCATTCAATTCTAATAGTCAATAGAAGAAAATATATTTTAATTCTATATAATTTACTTAAAATTTTTATAATTTTAGGTTCGTAATTTCGCAGCAACCTTCTAATTCAAAGTAAATTTGAGAGCTCAAATTTAGGTAAAGTAATGAATTAGCGGAAACAAGAATACATTATATTCCTTCTTAATCAATGCAGAGATAAAAAATAATTTTAAATGAACTAATAAATTATAAAAATTATAATCGGACGTCATTGTTAAGGTCTTCAAGTGTGATATACATAATTGCTCCAATAAATAATCTGTGCATTATTGTTTACATTACCCCAAATTATTTGTTTAAATTACCCTTAGATTATAAATTACTTGTCGATCATAAATGCCGTATTGATAATTAATTCAACACTATTGAGCCTGAATTACTTGTCCACCATAAGTTACTTGTAATCGGGCTGCAGCTCATGAGTTCTATTATCTTTAATGAAAATGGGTTAACGTTTTTAATATAAGTACATTTAATATGCTCATGTTGAAAATATCTGATAAAATTGTTTCGTGTGTGTCAATGCATAGCAAAGAAAATTTTTGACATATTATAGACCTTTTTCAGTTCATCAAGCATAAACTTTTGTCAGGAGATTAAAATTACAAATATATAAAAAAATATACGATAAAATTAAGAAATAACTTGAAATCATCACAACACGTCTTGCGAGCGATGTTGTGGAAGCGACCAACCCGCAGCCAACGTCTAATTATTAGTCTTTTATGAAGATGGGATATAATTATTGTTGTTATATTATTTCCAAAGGAAAATAGATCGATAAAGACATCGTTTTACGACTGAACACTTGAAAAGAACACCATCTTACCAAGTTACATGGTAAACAGTTACCACAAATAAATTTTTCATTTCCATTCAATCTAGTTGCCATTTAATTATATTATTACACGTTAACTAATTACCATGTTACATGGTAATCAGTTACCACAAATAAATTTTATATTACCATTCATTCTAGTTGCCACTTAATTTTTAGCGCCTTTTCTCATTTATGGAAAAAATGCACTATTGTGCTCGCCATGTCCGTCTGTCTGTCTGTCCGTCTGTCCGTCCGTCCGTGACCTCAAGTTTTCGCCGACGAGAAAATTCGCTCTCTGTCACTCACTGCAGTGAGTACTGAGTTATATTTTAAGGGATTCCGGGTACTTCCGGTCACGAACGCACCACAAGGTCCGCTGATTGGCCAAATCAAGAAGCTTATTCTGATTGGGCAAGCTGTTGCATTGCTGGATTGATCAATCAACAAGCACTGCAGTCTATCCCGTGCCAGGGGCTTTCAAACGTGTTACGTTACAGAAAAATATATTTAGTAATATTGTTATTATTATTTTTAATATTAATTGGTTTTATGTAAACTTTTTTCTTATAACCTATTGTCGGAACAAATTTTCGACGTCTTTTTATCACTATATAACGTATTTTTATCATGATAACGTACTTCCTTTTCAACGTTTCATAAGGCATATAGATTTATTTTTGGCGTCATTTTAGGCATAGAGTTTATGCATCATACGAATTTGATAATTATGAATAATTTATAACTTATTTTCCTTGATAATCTTATTACATAATTTAATTTGTGAAACATGGATATTAATTCAGATTTTTGCAGTCATAAAAAGTTTTATTTCGATGGCACATATTTTTATAAAGAATGAATAAGGAAACATAGCTATTGAAACGTTCAGTATAAAATAAACGGAGTATAACGAGAATAATATCCCTATTGTTGTTAAATTAAATAATTGAAAAAAATATCAACTCTGAATCAATCTTCATACTCAGGCTCGCTCAAATCGACAATAAATAATATAGGAATTTTTAATAAGATTGAGGAATTATTATAATTAGCCTGTAATAATCATAATTCTGGTATGAAATAGGACAACTGTTGTGGTTGATATCGTTAATGTCCTCAAGTGTACTGATTTGTATTCCATATAATCACACTCGTACACTCAGGCATTCAGGCACGATGTATGCAGACTTAACTCAGTCACGCAACGGCAAAGTTGTTACAACAGCGCATGCCTTTGCCAAGGCTGTTGCATTACCATCTATATACTGTTTACAGTTTGTATAATATTATAACAATGATATCATCAAGACAAATAACATTAGAAAATATATCCTGATTGAATTATGTGGACTATATGCCTGGTATATATAATACATATCAATTTTTCATTATACACATTTCGCATAAAATTCTGTCGGTGAATGGTGTTCATGAGCAGAAGTAATGTTTTCCGAGACTTTAGATCAGAAGTGGAATTCTCGTTAACATACCTTATTTTTAGATAATTAATAAAAGTTAAAGTTATTGATGAAACAAACACCCATCCTTGAAAATTAGAATGCTTTTATTGATAGCACACAAAAGGCTATCAAAAATAATATACTGGAATTTTACTGTCATAATGGCATATTGAAGCAGGTATTTTGACACTCAAGTAAACTTACAGGGCAACAAAACTTTACCGTTCATCCACAACATGAGAACGTCAGCACTATTTATTTCGTCTTAGTCTACATCTCACTCAGAAGAATGAATGGGTTATTACCCAAATATTGATACAATTTCTTATTCACAGCACGAGCGGAGCAGGCGTAGCACCGATACGTCTCTTTGCAGAGACAAACTGTATCAGGATAACCCAAGGTAAAAAGTGCATCGACATTTAGACAGTCTCACTCTTCTGTCAAGATCTTCAGGTCCATATACTTGGACTTGTGTCGTCTGCCATATTTAATGAGAAATATTAATGTAGTATACTGAATGGTCATATGCGCACTACCGTACACAATAATGTTGTTTACC